TCCCTGACTCTCCTCGTAGAGGACAATCTCCCTTTCGATATGGTCTTGGGAATGGACTGGGGAGAGGCAGCCACACTCCATTTGAGAGAGCACGGGTGTAGGGCTCCCTAGTATGTCACGTGAGGTTAAGACCGCTCGGTTGTTCCATGTGTCAGGGGTAAACAAACCCATAACACATCGCTGCCTCAACGCTCCTGCGTTTGCAAGGTTAGTGAAGAAGGATCAGGTAGAAGAACATGTTTTTGTAACCTATGTAAGGCCAGTTACAGAGCCTAAAGAGGAGGAACCAATCGACCCTCGCATTGCCAAGCTGCCGGGAGAATATGCAGATTTGTCTGGGCCACCTACAAGAGTAGTGTCGCGGCCGATCCAACATCGCATTGAGATAGAGCCTAATAGTAGGACTCCTAAGGAAGCTGTGTATAGAATATCCCCAAGGGAGAAGTTGCGCAAGCAGTTAGACGAACTCCTCGAAAAGGGTTGGATTAGGCCCAGTTCTCCTCCGTTTGGAGCACCTGTTTGTTTGTCCCCAAGAAGGAGGGAGAGCTTCGAATGTGCATTGACTATAGGGGTTTTAACGTCGTCACAATAAAGAATGCAGAACCACTGCCCCATATAGATGATCTGTTAGATTGGGTGCAGGGCTGCAAGTACTTCTCTAAGATCGATTTCAAGTCTGGCTATCATCAAATAGAGATGCATCTTGATGATCAGTACAAGACGGCGTTGAAGACTAGATATGGGCACTACGAGTTTATAGTGATGCCTTTTGGACTAACCAACGCACCAGCCACATTTCAACGCTGCATGAATGATTTGTTTAGGCCGTGGTTAGATAGATTTGTGGTTGTGTATCTAGATGATATCCTAGTATTTAGTAAGACCCTCTAGGAACACAAAGTTCATCTAAGGCAGGTCTTGGAGAAGCTGAGAGAAGCTAACTTCAAGATCAACATGAAGAAGTGTGATTGGGCCAAGACGCAAGTTTTGTACCTGGGCCACGTCCGAGATGGAAATGGCATAAAGCCTGAGGACAGTAAGATAGCAGTGATTAGAGATTGGCCAACTCCCCCTACAATGACAGAGTTGCGGTCGTTCCTGGGGTTGGCAATCTATTATAGGAAGTTCGTGAGGAACTTCTCTGCCATCGTTGCTCCCCTTCGCCAATTGCTGAAGAAGGAAGCAAGCTGGAAGTGGGACCAAGACTGTACATTGGCCCTGAAGAAGCTAAAGCGGGCTTTAATAAAGTACCCACTCCTCACCACTGAAGCGAGTCGGTATGGTATAGGTGTTGTTCTACAGCAAGATGATGGCAATTGGTATTGACTCGTAGAGTTCATGTCTGCTAGGATGCCTTCAGAGAGGTAGCAACATCCACCTATGAGAGAGAACTCTACGCTCTCAGGCAAGCGTTAGATCACTAGAAGCATTACTTGCATGGGAGGCATTTCAAAGTCTACTTAGACCACAAAACATTGAGGTGGCTGAAGACGCAAGCCAAGATGACACCTAAGCTTACTAGGTGGGCCGCAGAGATAGACCAGTTTGACTTTGAGCTCAAGCCAGTCAAAGGAAAGTACAATGTAGTTGTGGATGCTATGAGTAGAAGAGCTGATTGCTTTGGAGCGATAGTACATTATCTGGACATAGGGAGAGACCTGCAACAGAAAGTCAAAGAGGCGTATGCGTAGAACCCCATTTATAACGACCTCCTGAGAGAGTTAAGGAGGCTCCAAAAACTGAACCAGACTAACGTAGTTGACCGTCTGTGCGTTCCCAATAGTGAGGAGATTAGTAGCTCGATCCTAGGGGAATGCCACGACACAAAGGGAGACTTTGGTTGGCAAAAGACATTAGCCAACCTCGTCCGTGCACATACATGGCCTGGCATGAAGGCTGACTGCATAGAATATGTATGCAGTTGTAAAGTATGCCAGAGGAATACGACCACTACGCGAGCCCCTCTTGGTCTTCTCAGACCCTTGCCTATTCCCGCAGGACCCGGATATTCTGTGTCCATCAAGTTCATGGACGTTGGGGTCAGGAGTAGGCATGACAAGAGCCAAGTCATGGTTATAGTTGATAGGTTTAGTAAGTATGCAATTTTTATTCCTTTGCCTTTTGAGGCACATACAAATTTAGTAATAGAGAAGTTCTTTGATCATTGGGTCAGTGAGCACAGTCTACCGTTGTCGATAGTTAGTGACAGAGATACTAGGTTCACTAGTCAGAACTGGCAGGAACTGATGAGAGTCTACGGCTCTAGGTTGTTGATGTTGTCTGGCCGCCATCCAGAGACTAATGTTCAAACCGAACAAATGAACAAGATCCTGCAACAAGTTCCCAGGATGTGTATTAGACCCGATCAAGTCAACTGGGATGAGATGCTTCCAAAGGTAGCTAGTGCATATAACAACAACGTGCATTTAGCAACCTGTCGCACTCCCAACGAACTACATAAGCCCTTTAGACCGCGTAGGCTGTTCGAGGGTCTGAACCGGGATCAGATCCAGAGGCTACCGTCCGCTACGAGGGAGTTTGCGCTACAGCACGAGAGAGAGATTGCTACCGTGGTAGAGAACCTCAGGATGGGCCACCACAAGATGATAGGACAAGCCAACAAGCACCGTCGCCCATCACAGTTCCAAGTAGGCGACTTAGTCTGGGTCAAGTCAAAAGAGTTTGCTCCTGAGGAGAACATCTCGCAAAAGCTATTGCCTGCCTATAGATGACCGTGGGCAGTCCTAGAAGTCAAGGGCGGAGAAGATGACCCGTCCTGCACGATAGAGATCCCCGCACACCTCCATACATATCCAGTTTTTCACGCATCAAAGTTGTTACCTTGCACAATGAGTCAGCAATTTCCGCCGAGAAGATCGATGATTCCTCCAGATATGGACGAAAGGTACGACATTGATCGCATAGTAGATGAGGATGTGTTCAGAACAGGAGGTAAAGGTCGTCCGCAGAAACAATACAAACTCAAATTTTCCTTTCAAGAGCCTGAAGATGACCGCTGGTTCACACGAACAGAACTTCTAGAGACTGCTCCTGACGTAGTCCGTGCCTACGAAAGAGTAAAGAAAGGTAAAGATCCTATTGTAGATTGATTTATTCTCGGAGGACCTCGAATTTTAGGCCAGTGGGAGTGAAACGCTTTTCACCTTTACGGTAGCAGATGCAGATCCCAGGGCTCGATCCCCAGACCTCGCCCTTAACCATGTACGTCATCAGTTGCCTTGTGTGTGTTTGAACCTGTGACCTGTGTCTTGCGAGTCGCCTGTCTGCTGTTGTAGGATAGTGAGGTTGTTGGGTTTTGAACTGTCAGGCAGGGTTCGTAGCTGTGTAGAGGTCGTAGCTGTTGCAATCCTGAAAGGTCAAGGTCGTAGCTGCTACAGTCCTGAAAGGTCAAGGTGGTAGCTGCTACAGTCCTGAAAGGTCAAGGTCGTAGCTGCTACAGTCCTGAAAGGCCAAGTCTACAGACTTCCGAAAGGTCCGGAAGTGGCCTTTCGAGAGTTGCTCAGGTTAGGCTAGAGGCAAGTGGGCAAGTGGGCAGTCACAACTTTGTCAAGTCAGCGGTACCCAGTCCCAGTCGCAATTTATCCAGTCAGCAGGTACCATGCGAGACTGTGTGCAACATGGTCCCGATGGAAAGGAGCAGACCAGCGACCAACTGAAGTATAAATCAAGAGGCAGCGTCCAGCCATTCATTCATTCTGCCATGAGCCATGCGGAAGCGCTGCCCCAATGTTGCATACTGTAACGTGCAGACCAGAACAAGAACCGACCTCTTCAATACAAAGTACAAGATAACACAGCGGAAGACTTAGATACGAATGATCCGAACAATCAATATTAAAATGCAGCCCTGAACACACATCATCATCATCGTTATCTGGTGTGAAGGGGGTCTGGCGCTTCACACAAGAAGACTGCGCCAGCCCCAACCATACACAGACGAAGAAGGAGGGGTTAGACAAAAGAGGAGGGGAAGATGGGAATGTCGTCAACACCAAGTCTCGGTACAGGCCCAAATAGTCCCTCGTCGAAATGTCTGAATCCCAATGTCCAGTCTGGATCCAATGTCGTCAAGTCTCAAGTCACAACTCTTTCTCTCTCTGTCGTAGTCTGAGAAGTCAGGTGGCGAGAGGGTGAGAAGAGAKGGTGGACTTAGAAGAGGAAGAAGAAGAACTCTCTCTCTCTCTGTGTCCAGTACTAACCTGTGAAGTTGGCGCCTTGATGCAGGTACCACGAAGATGGAGCTGGAGCGATGGCGCCGCAGGTAAGTATCACTGGCCTCCGCCAGTCTCTCTCCCACTCTACGATCTACCACCTACCAGCGCCCAGCGCTGAAGACTACAACTACAGCTATGGCGCCCAGCGCCGAAGACTACAGCTAGCGCTAATACTACCTAGCGCTGAAGACTACTGCAGCGCTCCTCCTGAGTGCTGCGGCCGAAATCCTGAAGACTACTCGTGCCTACTGAAACTACCTACCCGTGAAGTGCATGGGAACTTCCTATGTACTACCGGGTGTGCCTCCTGAGCCTGTTGAAGGGAGGCAGGGGCTGCAGCTGCAGCTCCTGCTCAAACTCGTGAGGAACAKGCTATTTCTGGCCTGTTCCGTATCCCTGTTTACGTGCCTGAGTCTTAGGGGCGGTTGAAACAATGAGGGCCTGAAAATGGCCCTCCGTTTCAGGCTGATAGCCACACGGGCCCTGCAGGGCCCGTCCCGGACATTCAGCCTAAAAACCTAAAACTTAGGGCTTACAGGCCCCGGTCGTTTCAGCCTGAAAACTCTGGGTCTGAGAAGACCCAGAAATAGGCTGAAACGGGGTAGGGCCTGCAGGCCCTCGTTTTTCAGCTTTCAGGCTGAAACGACCGGGGCCTGTAAGCCCTAAGTTTTAGGCTTTTAGGCTGAATGTCCGGGACGGGCCCTGCAGGGCCCGTGTGGCTACGCAGTATGCCACACCCCCCCCTCCTTGAAGAACCGAGCTTACCTGCGAGGGCGAAGCTGTCTGTCCGAGGGAGGGACCACAGTCCGGGTGGGAGGGGCTGGTCGTGAAGCTTCCTGAGCAAACCTCCGCTTTTCATAATGTGAGTAGATCGGCGGTGCGGATGCTTTCAAATCTGCGCCTGAAATCCATCGAGTGTCGTCGCGATCGCATGCTTTGAATGTGACTTTGTACTGCCGCGGCTTGCTGGCGTAGTTGCGATCGGAGATGACACGGTCAACTTCCTGATGACCATCCATAGAAGGAGGGTCCTGCGATCGTCGGCCCGGAAAGTCATCGCTCTTGGCTGGCGTGTATGTTGCGAGCTTCGAGGCGTGGAAGACCGGATGGACCGTCAGATGCTTTGGAATGTTGATCACAAATGAAGGGCCATCGGGCTCATCGCCCGTGGCTGCTGTCACAGACCAAGGTCCAAACCACTTGGGAAGCAGTTTGCGTGAAACATCCTGTTCCAGTGCAAACTCTTCCGCGGAGACCCAAACCACATCACCGGCGCGGATGGGACATGGTACGGGACACCTGTTGGCTTGCTGCTGCATGCGGACTTGAGCCTTTTGTATATTTGCGCGGGCTTGAGTCAGCAATTCCCTGTACTTCCGGACGGAAGCGGGAGAGCAGGCAGCGTCAATGTCGGCTGGTCGAGGGAGGAGAAGGTYKGYGAAGMTCYGGYCTTTCCGTCCAYCRTGGTGCAACTCGAATGGAGTCACGCCGATCGCCGGATGCACCGAAGTGTTGTAGGTGAATTCGGTGTCGGGGAGGCGGTCAACCCAATCTTTCTGGTCCGAACGGTTGAGCGTACGAAGCATCATTTGAGCGGTTTGATGTGCTCGCTCCGTCTGCCCGTCTGTCTGAGGATGCCGAGCTGAACTTGGTTTCATTGTTGTGCCGGACTCCTGCATGAGAGCAGTCCAAAATGCCGACATGAAACGAGTGCCGTGGTCGCTGACAATGTCTTCTGGTACACCGTGGCCACAAATCCAACCAGTGTGCAGGAGGCGTGCCAGCTCGGGAGCCGTGGAGTAGTACTTGCAAGGGAGAAAACGCGCGTACTTACTCAATCGGTCCACAACCGTGAGGATGCCGTCGTGCCCGAGGCGGTCGCGAGGAAACGGACCGGGGATATCCACGGCAATGGAGAGACCGGGTTCCCGTGGGATAGGCATCGGGTGTAACTCGCCATAGGGATTGCGGTCGGCAAACTTCGCACGAGTCGCAATACCGAGTGACATCGGTAATGAGGTCGGGCCATCGGAATCGCTGTCGAAGCCATGCAATAGTGTGGTTGACTCCGAAATGGCCGGCGAGTCGTGAATCATGATACTCGCCGAGGAGGCGAGTCCGAAGACGACGGTCGCGTGGGACACACAATAAGTCCTTGCCTTTCGAGTGGAGGAGCAAGTATCCGTCGGCGATGCGATAGTGGCTGGCCGGCGGGTGAACCGAAGATAGCTGTGCGTACAGCGTGGCGAAGTCCGGATCAGACTCGTATGCACGGATGAAGTGTTGCTGAAGCTCCTCGTCGAATGCGAAGGCATGATGAGTCATAGCGCAAAGATCAGGTCTTCGCGAGAGTGCATCTGCTGCGCGATTTGAGAGCCCGGGAAGATGTTTCGGTGTGAAGTCAAACTGGTCGATGAAGTACATCCATCGTCCGATCGTGCTGCTCACCGTATCCTGCGTCTTGTAGTAGGTCAATGGATTGTTCTCCGTAACCCATGTGAACCTACGACGCCCAAGGAGGAAGTGCCGCCATCGCTTGAGAGCCATGACGAACACGAGTAGCTCCTTCTTCCTTGCATCATCAAGCGAGTTGATGGAAGGCACTTTGTGGCTGAAATACTCCACATGGTGCCAGTCGTCGCCGTCGTGCTGTTCCAAGACTGCCCCAATGCCATAGCCGGAAGCGTCCGTAGTCACTCTCGTCGGCAAGGTGGGGTCATAGATGCTAAGGACGGGTGCCATGAGCATAGCCGTCTTAAGTGCTTGGAATGACCGGCGTGCGTCGTCATCGAATACGAATGGCACCTTTGGCGACTGTAACCTCGTCATAGGTGCAACAATCCTGGAGTATCCGGTGATGAATCGCTGATAGTGGCCTGCCAATCCCATGAATGAACGAATGTCCGTGGTGTTGGTGGGCTCGGGCCATACTCGTAGGGCCTCGATCTTGTCCGCGAGCGGACGGATGCCTTGCGGCGTCACATAGTGGCCCAAGTACTCCAGCTCCTGCCGCGCGAATTCACACTTGTCGCGGTTGGCTTTGTACTTGGCCTGTCGTAGCCGCTCCAAAACGGTGCGCAGGTGCTCCACATGCTCCTCCAAACTCCGGCTGTACACCAGGATGTTGTCGGGGTAGATAAGTACGTAACGATCCAACATGTGTTGGAACTCCGTTGTCATAGCCGCTTGGAAAGTGGTCGGGGCATTCGTAAGGCCAAATGGCATGACCAGCCATTCGAAATGCCCATATCGCGTCTTGAACGCGGTCTTGTAGCGGTCCTCCTTGCGAATCTCGAGTTGGTGATATCCTGACTTGAGATCGAGCTTGGAGAAAAACTTGGCGCCGCCCACTCGCTCGAGAAGATCGTCGATGCGTGGGAGAGGGCCAGCGTTCCTGATCGTCTGCGGGTTGAGCTTGCGATAATCGATGCACAACCGCAGGTCCTTGTTCTTCTTCCGAACAAAGAGAACAGGAGCACCGTATGGCGATGAGCTAGGCCGAATCCAGCCTTTCTCCAGAAGGTCGTCGAGTTGTGCCCGAAGCACACTTAACTCTTCCTCGCTCATTCGGTAGATGCAACCGCGCGGAGGTACGGCCCCGTCCTCGAGGATGATCTCGTGGCGGATGGGTCGATCCGGTACTACTCCGTGCGGGCCTTTGAACACGTTGCTGTAAGCATCGAGAAGCTCGGTGATGCGTGGATCCGAAGGTGAGTCCGTCGATGAAGCGTCATGGGGCGGGAGGGCGTGGAGAAAACACACCCCCATCTCCTCGATGTCGTCTCTGATGATGGAAGCTCGCATGCTTGCGGCAGATACCACGTGGCAGCTGATCGAAGGATGAGGAAGAGGCACCGCGCATGGAACTAGTACTCCGTTCCAATCACGAATGTGAACGGTGCGGTGGAAGAAGTTCACCGGGTGATCCTCGCTTCGCAGCCATGACATGCCCAAGATCATGTCAAATTTGGTGTCCAGAATGTCAAAGGACACTGCCTCACTTGTGTGAGGGGCAAAGTACACTTGGAAGTTGTCAATGCACCGGTCGATTGACTTGTGCGTGTGACCGTCCGCCAACGTGACTTGCGTAGGCTGGGACTTCCTCCGGACGCGTGGGCCAAGGACGGCGCGCACCATGAAGTCCTGGCTGATGTAGTTGCGAGATGCTCCGCAATCGATCAAGGTACTACAGGTCGCCTCTCCAATCTGAATGCGTACGTGTAGCAATGGTGCGTCGATGTCGTCGTACCGTTGCGTCTTGAACTCGCGGTCGATCTTCGCGATGTAAGCGTGAAGGTCGACAACCTCTGCTCCGGCGTCCATCAACGGAGTTGGTACTGCAGTGTGCAAGTAATCCCGCAATTGTGCCATAAGCACATTGCCATGCGGTTTCGACAATCGTCCGGTCGAGGGAACGGGCATCCACTGGAAGTCCGTGAACGTCAATGGGTCGAGCTCTTCAAGTCTTGACCATGACGTCGAATCCCCGGCGATAGGTTGCGGCGAAGGTGCCGAATCGGTTGCCGATGGTGATGAAACCGTGCATGCGGTGGATTGTTGCACGTGGAGCGGTTGGTCCAGCGGTGGAACCAAGTGGACAGCATAATCCTCGTAAGTATACCGAGGACTTGCGACATTCGCATCCTCCCCAGATGTGCAGGAGGCCGCTAGCAAGGCGGCCAAATCTGGCGGAGTAGAAGGTGGAGTCGCCTCACCTTTCGCGGAGCTCAGTTTCCCGAGCTGAGGCGGGGTCGCACATCCTCCTTGCCCTGATCCTGGCATAGGGAGGTCTTGTGCTTGGTGTTGTTGCACCAATAGCAGCTGCAGTATCGGCCGCGGACCTTGTACTCCGCCTCGGTCAAGCCAAACTTGACCCATGGAACTTGTACTGGCTGTCCATTTCCTGCCTGCGATGCGGATTTCGCCTTCCCATTGTTGCGGGACTTGTTGTTGTTTCGCGGCTGGACAACAGCCACCTGATCTCCGTCACTTGATGCTGGAGTGGCTGCTGGGTTATCTCCACTGTCCGACTGGACTGCAGCAAACTGCTGCTGTCGCGGACCAATTCTTACCTTCTCCACATAGGTTGGCTGCCACGTGGACTTCTCGTGTGCAGCCGACCTGTTAGTCTTGATGAGCTCTCTCGCCTTGTTGATGGAAGTGTTGTACTGCTCGCGATCACCAAGTGCGAGGCTGAGAGCGGCGCATGACCTGTTGTAGAACTCACGCCGCATATGCGGAAATGGCAAGTCCAAATCGGGCGTTGCCACGATTTTCTGCCAATCCGTGAACCAGTCACGTGTCGGTGTGCTCCCTTGAGCCGTCGTGAAGATGCGGTTGACGGCGAGTGCCGGGGCGTCGTCGACGATGAACCGCTTCTTCCATTCCTTTGTCAGATCTTCCCAGGAGACCTTCTTGTACAGGTCTGAAACCTGGACGTCGTGGATGGTTGCCATGTGGCTGAGCCAGATCTGACAACCTCCCTTGGTGTTGATGAACAGAGCACTGATGAACAGATGGTCAAGGACTTCGTGAATCCCCAACTCCGTTGTAAATCCTTGCCACCAGACGACCGGGTCTTGATGTGTGTAGTCATCAAATTTCTCGAGCCGGAATGTCGGCATCTTGTATGGCCTCGCCGAGCTGTTGTTGTGGCTGTGGTCAGTCTGCTGTTGCTGACTGATCTTAGTGTCCAGCAACTCGAACCGCTGGCTGATGGTGGCCGGCTCTGTGAAGGCACTTATGTCTCCTAGCATTGCCACTACGTGGTCAACGCGTTCCTCCAGTTGGCGGCTAGAGGATGCACTGCTGGAAACTCCAACATCTGGTCCTGGTACAGCCTGTTCCAGGTCCAGTACACGGGCGTCCAGTGCCCGTGTGGCATCCTCGTGCTGAATCTTCTGGTTCCGTACGGCCCGCTGAAGGTTTGCCAGCTCAGACTGTAGGTGGTTACACGTGTAAACCAACCTGCTCACGAGCTTGGCCATGAACTCCTTATGATGCTCTTCCGGTGTTGGCTCGTCGCCGTTTGGTTCAAAGTGCCAGTACTTGAGTTTCTCGATGCTGTTGGCTTCATGCCGCTGCAGCAGAGCCTGGGCTTCCTTGCGGCGAGCCTGGGCATCTGCGTCTGCTTCGGCCTGTAGCCGCAGCTTCTCTGCTGTTGCCGCTTCATCAGCCTGTAGCTGGGCAGCCGTGACTGCCAGCTGGCGTTGTTCCTCAGCCTCGATTGCAGCGAGCTGAGCATGGACACGCTATTTGTAGTCGGCAATGGGCTCGTTGGCCAGTTAGCCTGGCAGGCCCGTCATGTTGCTGACGTGGCACTTTGTCTAACGTGGCACTGTCTGACGTGGCACTGCTTACGTGGCACTGTCTGACGTGGTACTGCTGTCGTGTCACTGTAGCTGACGTGTCACTGTGTGACGTGGCCTGCTGACGTGTCACTGTAGCTGACGTGTCACTGTGTCTGACGTGGCACTGCTGATGTGTCACTGTAGCTGACATGTCACTGCTGTCGTGGCACTGACGTGTCACCGTTGCTGACGTGTCACTGCTGACATGGCACTGACGTGTCACTGCTGACGTGGCATTGTACCAACCCGGAAATGCATGCAAAGGGGTGGGTGGGAGGGAACACGTATGTAGGCAAACAACCCAACAATACTTCCCTCCGGCCCTAATCAACAGATAAAAAAAAAAAAAA